CAATTAGAGTGTCCTGCTAAATGAGGCTAATAGAGTAGGCTGAAGTGCCCTATACTTAACTTTTGATGTTCTTTGGGTGTTGAATGTAACTGACAGAAGCAGACTGTGAGGGACTCCAAGAAGATCTCACCAAACTGAGTGATTGGACAACAAAATGGCAAATGAAATTTAATGTGGATAAGTGTAAAGTAATGCACATCGGGAAAAATAACCCCAACTATACGTACAGTATGATGGGGGCTAATTTGGCTACGACAAATCAGGAAAGAGATCTTGGAGTTATCGTAGACAGTTCTCTGAAAACTTCCACACAGTGTGCAGCGGCAGTCAAAAAGGCAAATAGGATGCTAGGAATTATTAGGAAAGGGATAGAAAATAAGACCCAGAACATCTTACTGCCCCTGTATAAAACTATGGTACGCCCACATCTTGAATACTGTGTACAGATGTGGTCTCCTCACCTCAAAAAAGATATTTTGGCCTTGGAAAGGGTTCAGAAAAGGGCAACTAAAATGATTAGGGATTTGGAACGGGTCCCATATGAGGAGAGGCTAAAGAGACTGGGACTTTTCAGTTTAGAAAAGAGGAGACTGAGGGGGGATATGATAGAGGTCTATAAAATCATGAGTGGTGTGGAGAGGGCTGATAAAGAAAAGTTATTTATTAGTTCCCATAATAGAAGAACTAGAGGACACCAAATGAAATTAATGGGTAGCAGGTTTAAAACTAATAAAAGGAAGTTCTTCTTCACACAGCGTGTTGTCAACCTGTGGAACTCCTTGCCAGAGGAGGCTGTGAAGGCTAGGACTATAATAGAGTTTAAAGAGAAGCTAGATAATTTCATGGAGGTTAGGTCCATAAAAGGCTATTAGCCAGGGGATAAAATGGTGTCCTTGGCCTCTGTTTGTCAGAGGCTGGAGAAAGATGGCAGGAGACAAATCGCTTGATCATTGTCTTCAGTCCACCCTCTCTGGGGCACCTGGTGCTGGCCACTGTCAGCAGACAGGATACTGGGCTAGATGGACCTTTGCTCTGACCCAGTACGGCCGTTCTTATGCCTATTCAGGCCAGGTCTTTGTTCAGAACTTGATTAAAGTGTCAAATTTGCAGATAAAGGCAGCATTCAAACCAAGGAACAAAGGTCCTTCCAATGATTTGGAAATGGCAAGAGATTTGGCTTGAGGCAGCTGTTTATTCCATTACAGATACAAGCCCAGAGCAAGGACTTTGCAACTGTTGTGTGCATTTGGTTTCTGTGATCAGTTTCAACTCTCACCTCTATTACTTCCTTGTATGAATACAGATTTAGAGTTTAGATACTAACAGATTGGCAACAGCGTGATTTTTCGGGTAAGATCTGAGTTATGTAGAGACCAGGGCATGTGGCCAGTCCGTTGGCTTTGGAAGAACCTTTTATTTGATGAGACTGGTTTTCATAACCACTGGTCTCTACATGCAGTGTTCCTGGTGGGGATATAAAGGACCTGGAGAATCTGAGAGAATCATTTGTAGGATGTAGTTAACCCACCTCTCTGGGTATGTCTACACTACCCCGCTAGTTCGAACTAGCGGGGTAACAAACATGCGGACAAGGGGGATCCAGTAGATATAGCATACTTGGATTTTCAGAAAGCCTTTGACAAGGTCCCTCACCAAAGGCTCTTGTGTAAATTACATGGCCATGGGATAAGAGGGAAGGTCCTTTCTTGGATTGAGAACTGGTTAAAAGACAGGAAACTACCCTCCTAGTTCGAACTAGGAGGGTAGTGTAGACATACCCTCTGTGAGGCTGTAGCCACATCATCAAAATTGCATTGTCTGCACCAGGGTCAAGTTGATGAAGCTGTGACAACCAGGACACATTTTTTCTCAGTCCTTACTGACATCACTGGATTGAATTAAGAGTTAAGTGTGCAGCAGGCCCCAGAGGGGTTTCCCTGGGAACACCCGGGCTGAGGGACTGGCTGGCAGCTTATGTGTGTGAGGCAGAGAGCCAAGGGACATAATCATGAGTGTGAGCCAGGCAGGAACCGGGGAGAGAGTTGGCTTCAGGCCCAGGGATCCCTGGAAAGCTGATTTGCAATTGTAGGGATAACATATTAAAGTATTAAAAATGATTCCCCAAGTGGAAGTGACTCCCCATAATTTGTTCCCCACAACTTAAGTTTGCGTTTAGATTTAGTGTCATCAAACTTGATAAGTGTTTAGATTTATTATTATTGCCCCTTTAGAATATAATTTGTTAGAAATGTAATATTAGGTCATGTAACTTAGAACTGTTAAGAATATAATTATGTAGCCAGAAACAGCTCCCCTCTCTGTGTCCCAGGGAGCCAAGCCCTGTAATTGATTAAGGGCATTGTTACACAATTAATGCCCGTTCTCTTCAAAGCATTGGGAACCAATTAACCCTAATCGCAAAGTGAAACATTGTAACTATAACAGTAACTAACTCAGCACTCAGAGAGAGAATGTTTTAAGAAATGCCACCCAGAAACTTTTGTACCTACAACTCTTGTACATGTAAAATTATTATTATACAAAATACTGGCTGTGAAACTTTAATTAGGGAATGTATGTAAGAGAGAGAGTGCTT